AGCATATACCTGAGGAACTTCCTTTCTTTAGTTTCTAGGCTTGATTTGTGTGCAGGATTTCCTTTTTCTTTCTCTTTCTCTGTGCTTTGCTTTGGAGAGGTGGTGATTTTTACTTTGAAGTGGATCTAATAAACCCCCCCTAATGTGAGTACCAGTGAAACTATCTCTAGAAACTCCTGGGGCACAGGAAGAACTCATATTAGCTGTTCACCCACTTGCATGCTCTTTCCTCTTTTCTATGCTGCTGAAGTAATGGCATAAAGGAAAACAGAGCTGCTCTCTAAGTGAGCTTGTATGGAGATGTTAGAGGGATCATGGGTAGATGGAAGTTAGCAGAGGGCTTCCTGAGAAAGAACTGGGAAGGGTTTTCAGGCAGCAGTAGAAAAGAGCTTCTAGAGAGAAATCTGGCCTTGCAGAAAGGACTCTGCAATTTTACTTTTGTTTGTGGCTTTTATTGAACTCCATCCAGGAGCTTTCAGTAGGTTTAACTAGAATGAGGTAGCTAAAATTACAAAGGGAAAGATTAGGTGGGGCAAAAAACGTGGAAGGCTGTAGGAGAAGAGGTTGCTTTTCAGATGAGTCTGGGAAATACTGTTGGAAGGGAGGTAGGTAGGAGGAGCAGGAAGGGACTCTGCAGTTACAGCAAGAATGTGCCAAAACCCAGACAGCGCTAGACAGGGCTTTTGGTGTGTAATAGGAAAAGGTCATTTGGGGCGGTTGCTTTGGAATTGTACATCTGTTGGGTTGCCATAAAAAGCACTGTACATAAGGAGTTTTCTACTGAGGCTTCAGCAGAGCTCTGTTGTGCTGCTGCTTGCAGTAAAGACTGTGGGGTTTTGCCTTTCTGAGGAAGATTTCAAATTCAGCAGAACACGATATGATCATGTTGCTTTGCAGGTGACTAGCAAAGGAAAGGTAAGACCCTGTCGATAAAAGCCAGTTTAAGAGCTTGTGCAATGTTACATCCATTTTATACTGAGGATCTGGGAGTGCATCGCTCTTCTCCCATCACCTGTAATCCTGAATTTTGTGGATTTTTTGGCCAGTTTAGACTGTGTAACACACTATCGAAGAGACTGGCAAAAGAGTCTTGTCCCCTGTGCCTAGTCACCCGCAGCATATACGTGCTGTGCTGTAGATTGGCTGTTTCAGCTCATATTTCACATGAAATTCTCTGACCTCTTCTGCAGGGAGCACCTGACTCCTAAAATAGTGTGCAGTTTGGTTATGTATGCTCCCCGCAATGTAAACTCCTCTGACAGGCTCCTGCCCGTGTTTTATGGTCTCTTATGCCTTCACACTAACACTTAACATCTGCACCACAAAATTTGTAGCATCAGTTTGTTCGAATAAAGAATCCACCAAGCATTTAATCCTTGTTTTAATGGCTGATGTTTATTTTAGTTTGGGGTTTCGTGTACTCGTGGAGGGATTCTCTGCCCATAGTCCATAAATCATGCAGAGCAGGAATGAGACTTCTCTGTGCTGGCTTGTTTCCGAAGCGAGGCTCTAGAAATGGGGGGATTTTTGGTACCTCCATAAAGTTGACTCACCTCAGGTACGAGTTGCAGATGCGATTAATGAGGATTTACTATTGGGTTTGGATCTTTTTCTCCTCCTCATCAAATGTCTGCGATATGGGATGTGTGTATCTCTCTTGTTCTGTTTGTGATGGTTCATCCATGCGATACTTGTGTTTTCTCCATGTGCTTGATTATGCTGGAAAATTGTTTGCATGTGTGGAAGGCAGGAAGATGCAGATAGAAACCACTCTGAAAGTAGCCCTCTGCAAGGACAAGTAGGACAGAAGGAATGAAGTTACACTATAGAGGAGCTGATAACTGAAAATGGAAAGAAAAAGGGACACAATCCCTTTTCTGTTCAAGTAGTTTGTGTTGTGTTGCCGTACATCTCCTGCAGTGTATCATCAGTGACCACCTGAGCTCTTTGTAGGCTCCCTTGAGTCCATTGCATGTTGCCTGTTTTAAGTGCTCAGTAAGCTTACACTTGGCCAATGTGAGGGAGAGGATAAGAGTAAGAGCCCAGATCCTCTAAGTTAGGTCACTTTGGCTGTGTTTCTAGGCAAGCTTGGGGGGTGGTAGTTTTCCACACACAACCTTTAATCCCTACAACCCAGTGGCAAGCAGCCAACCCAGAGCTTCAAGTAAAACTCCTGGGGGAATGGGGGCCAGAGGCTTTGTATGAACCAAGACTACCCAGCAATTTGCCAGGAGTCCCTTTAGGCTGCTGCTCTCCAGAAATCACACCTTCCAGAGCTCTGTACAGCTGCCTTCTGCAAAGAGGGGCTGAATGGAATCGGCAAAGCCTTGCCAATTCCTTCATCCGCCTCTGGAGGAGCCACCATGCTGGGCAATCCCATGGCAAATGACCATGGCATGACCTCTTCTCCGTGGAGTGCAAGCTGTGGTCTACCATAGTGGTTTCCTCTGACACAAGTGGCTTCTTTTCTACCAAAAAGGAGATCTTTGACGTGAAGCCCCAGAGTACTCTGGGTTTATTTCCTTCCGTTTAAGCTTTTTTTACACAACTCATTCCATAAGAACAACTTCTGTGTAGGTAGGAGATTTACACGAGCCGAAATGCTTTTATTTGTTAGGGAATTACCAAAATAAGAATTTGATGGGGAAGTGCTATTACCTCCATGAAGGTTCTGATCACCAGCAGCCAGACCCAAAAGGCCGATGTTCTTGCTATAATAATTGGCCTGCTCTTCCTTTCTCTCTGCCTTCTCCCATGGTATTTAAATGATAACATGGAAAGTACTGCACCTAAAGCTGCATGGGATGGGAGGGATGGGTGGATGGATAAAATGAAAGGGGTAAACAAACATGGGAGCTTTTCCACAGAAGTTTGGTGAAGTCATCTCCATTTCATAGCTGGCAAATCAAAGGTGCATTCATCTTTCCTTCTTTCTGGTACAACCACTCCATTTTATTTTATTGCTTTTCTAAAGCCCTTGGAAGCATAGAGATCCCCTGCTCTGTGGCTGCTGTGTCATGATCGTGCACTTTTGGGTAGCTATACTGCAGTCTTGTGTGAAAACAAGCCTTGAAACTTGGTGATTGTCATCTTTGCTGCTGGCACGAAGCTTCTGTTATTTATGAGCACCCCAAGTTTTCATTTCTTTTTGCTTGTCCATGGGCCTGTCTGTCTCTGTAGACCCAAGGGGGATATTTCCACACCCCTTTAAAAAGATTCAAATCAAATTTCATGCTTAAAATATGTACCAAGTGTTGACAGCTGATGCTTTGGGCAGAAAAGCACGTGCAGAGCCGTGCTGGATGGCTGCTAGACGGCTTGGAATAGAGATATGGGATGGACATGTGCAAATCTGCATATTGACGAGACAGAAAATGTATGAATGAGCAGGAGGCAGGGAGTCCATTTCAGGTAGACTTTGGAGGGCTTAAAGCTGATAGAGTTTATCACCCCGAGTACAAGAGGTCAGTCAGGAAAAGCGGATGATCCGAGTGCATTTACCAGCCTGGGAAAGAAGGGAAATTCACACTGGATTATGTAAGGTAAACAGGCTGTGGCAAACCAGGATCCGTGAATGCTAATTCAGATCTGCCTGCTGCAGAATGGTGCTTTGCTAAGAGAGGGTCTCAGGTTAAATCTACACAAAATGTAAAAGTGTGACAGAAGAGGCACTGTCTGAGCATTATGATCTATCCCATGTCACTTTCGCATTGAATGTTGTGTATATGCCTGTTCAGGACCTGTTGTGTGTTCTGCTCCCTTTGCCTTTGGAAGAAACCAATGCATTAATCAGTATCAAAGTAGTATCAGTATCTTATCCATGGAATATTGCAGGCTGAGCAGTTAGCAGATGTAATTTCAGAAATTCTTGGCAGTTTGTTTCTTACTGCAAAATAAACTTGTTTTAATGACTTCATTTGCTTTTCTTTCATTTTACGATTGAAAACATGAATACATTTTGTGTGACTGCAGTGAAGTGAGTAGATTCAGTTTCAAATCTGGACTTAGTTTTTCCTTTGTTTATGCCTCAGCTGCTTTGTACATTTGCCTTTGAGCTGTGGAACACATTTCACCTTCAGTTTAGAAGAGGACAAATTACTAATACCTGAGTTGCTTAGTATGGAGGAAGGGAGGTTTAACCTCTGTGTTTCATTTTTGTGTTAACGCTGCTGCTTCACTTTCAAGTCTTTAGGATAGGTCCATTTCACAGGTTCCTGTAACTTCAGTTCATTGAGGTCTAGGGATTCCCTGCTTTTGGTGCACATACCACAGTAAAGACGCATGTGAGCTCTGCACGTAGGTGGCCAGTGACTGCAGCTGCTGGTGCTGGTGCTCATGCCAATAGCAATAAATCAGCAAAGAAAGCTTGAGAAGGTCTTATCTAGCCTGACCTTCTGCACTCCTGGGTTCCATCCAGAGACTTCTGCAGTTGGCCAATGATCCGTGTTCCAAAACAATCTTAGCTTAAATTAATTTTTTTGAGGCTCTGTTGTGTTCAGTGACATTGCTCTGGTAGGGCTGGTAGCAAGTGAAAATGCAACTGATGGAAATAGTGACTCCAGGAGCATCTTACAACTTCCCTGGCTCAGGAGAACCTGCAGAGTCTAGGGTGTAGGTTGCACCCTAAAGAACACTCTCCTATCCTAAAGTTTTCTTCAAGAGATTTTTCCTTAATTAGCATTTATTCCATTCTAGAGGAATGATGCTACTTTCACATGCAAGATGTCCAGTTTTGGAAGGTTTTGCACGAGCATGACTTCTTGGTTTGAATTCTGGTTTATCTTTTGCTTTTCTGGACTTCTCTTTTTTCCATTGTCTTTTCTTTCTGCCTACAGAGGTACAGATGTACTTGCAGTGGAACCTCTTGATTGCTTTTTTTCATCAGCAGAGAACACTTCAATTAAAGGGCATTGCAACCTGAATATGCACAAGAATATTTGTTGGAGAGTGTAAATGTTTTATTATGATCTGCCAGCCTTAATAAGGATTTTGACTTTTAGAAAAGAAGAGACAAAAGAAGATGAAATCAACCAGTGACTGGAGGGAGAGAAGAAACGCCATTCGACTCACCAACGAGTACACAGTAGAAACCCTGGTGGTGGCAGATGCTGATATGGTCCAATACCATGGTGCTGAGGCTGCCCAGAGATTCATCCTCACAGTTATGAATATGGTAAGTAGGCATTTTGCTCTCAAAAGAAGAACAGATCATATCAAGGGCAGGTTAAAGCTGGCTTCCGTGACAGCTGAAATGGGCAACTGTTTTGACCTTGAGGTATGAGGAAAGGTTTTGGTTTTCTTGCGTCATGTGCCTCTTCTCCCCCATCTATATGATTCCATGTATTTGCTAAAGGACATCACAATGAAGAACTTTTTTGAAACTGAAATTGCAAGTTTTCATTAGGAAATATTCCATAATTGTTGAAGAGTGGTGTTTTCTGCCATGTTTTATTATTGAAGCCAACAGTCATAATGATTTCCAGCAGAAAGCCTGTCTTTCACTTCGTTAGAAATACTCTTTACCTCTGATTTTTTTGCACAATGAAAGTGGCTGCCTCCCTTGGTGTAGAAAACATGGTAAAGTCACTACCAAACTGCCAGCTGATCCCATTCTTTTCACCCCAGGATCCCTTGGGCTGCCTGAAGTGGTGCTGATCACACCTCTGAATAGGTGGAGTTGGCCTCTAGAAGCATTCAAAAACTTCTGCAGGGAATCTGCCAGGAGTGAGGAAAGCCTTTAGAAACTGCAATCTCCAGTGAAGTGTGGGTGTTAATTTGTTAGCTGGCCTAGTAGTTTAAGCCTTCTGTCTCAGTTGATAAGGGGACACAGAGCCTGCCGCAGTGAATGCTCTCTCACTCGCTTGTTGCCATTGCCAATAAAAAGATAATGGCTAAATTGGATGTGGACACTGAAAAGTCTGCTCAGAGACGGCAGGGGTCCTTCCAGAGGCATTTGTGCAAGGAAGTCTTTGAGGAAGCTGGTATTCTTCTGCCCGTGCTATTGTAACATCCAGGAGCAGTTCATTTTCATGATTACTGATCTGTTGTTGTTCACAAATAGCAAATTAGCTTGGAAAAAAAAAACAGTTCTTAATAGTAATTGACTGGTCACACTTCCTAGTGAAGAGCTGAGTGATGGATGCTCAGTGCATAATGCAGCTATGGGACAGCAGCTTTCTGAAAGGTCTTGTGCTCTCTTAAGCACTGGTGTGAGGGAGCTCTCCTGTAGTGAAGTGCTTTGCTGATTAAGCATGGAGCAACTAGTCTTTTTCTGTTAACAAGCTGCTTTTCTGTGTCACTTCCTCTACCATCTGTTTTGCCTTTTGGCATGCTGTGACAATAGCCACTTAATAGGGCTTCATTGTGTCTCTACATTTATTTGGATTGATTGGTAGGAAATGTCTTCTTGCAACAAACCCATTCATGTTGCCTTCACTTCAGGGTCTACTTACTGGCTTTCTTGCATTTAAGGATGTGTTTGCCGGGGGCACAAGAGCCTTATTCTTCTCAAAGCCACAGTCTTCCAACCTTAAATTCCCGTACCAGTTCTGCAGTGAGCAGCAGGACAGAAGGCCAGCTCTGAACAAGTTTGCTTCTCGAGTCACTTTTTAAACGAACAGAAGTCCATATTTGTATATAATGTACAGGTGAAAGCTGAGTTTCTTCTGGTGTCAGATGTTTGGGACCTTAAGGCAGGGTGATGGTGACTTTTTGTTTGCAGTGGTAGCCCAAAAATTTGTTCCCTCCTAAAATCTGTTCCACACTGATAATAACAACCTGCTGTTGTGTCCCACAGTTCTGGTGGGGCTGGGACAGGACATTGTATGTGTGAGAGCTTTTAAAACATGTGTTTGATCATCTGTCTTGATGATCCTCATGCCAGAAGGTCAGTTATTTCAGTGTAGCCATTACTGCTTCTCTATCTTGTGTAGCTTTATCAACCTATGAAGATTGTTTCGGTTGAGAACGCCAATAGACCAAGTCCCAAACAAAAGATGACCATGAATCCTGTTGTCTGTCCAGGCTGAGGAGTACTGCAGAACAGCTCAGCAACATCAGCTTGCCAGGAGTGAATATGTATGTGTGGAGAGGTGCTGATAGATGGGCTGGGTTCTCTAAACCCATTTACTGTTGGGTTAATATCGAAGCTTAGTTTCCAACGGATTTGTCTGATGGACTTTTAAGCTAGGTTCTGATGCTGTAGTGTGAGCTCACACATTTATTAGGCACTAGAGAATGCATGTGGAAGGGGACTCTTGGCTGAGGAACACATTTATCTAACATCTAAGGTGCAAAGTCCAGCTGAAACACTTCCCGCTGTTAACTCATTTTTCCTAGGGACTCACCCATGTGGCTTTTCTGATGTCTGATAGGATCTGAATTTATGTTTCAGCTTTTCAGCCTCCAGAGGAGCACTGACAGAGTCTCTATCCTTTGTCTGGCCACCTACATTCCCACACTTGTAGGAACATATCATCTTTCACGCCTCTACCTCCCTCGGGAAACTGGTTGTGAATGGCTGGCAAGATCAGAAGATACTAAAGAACAGTAACAGGCAAACACATAGATGGCATCATTGCATAAATCCTTTATTCTGAGGCTATAAACCAAGGTGAAATTCAAGGAAATCAAAGGGGATCTTCACATTTCATTTGCTACAATGAAAGCTGATCTTTATCCCAGCAAAAGAGGCTGAGGAACAGTTCAGAACACATATTTCAGGAAGAGAGTTTGGATAGTCATGTGGTTTAGATAGGGCTTAGCCAGACTCTTCACTCAGCCACTACTCTTTGGGTAGTGCCTGAACCAGCCATGGTCAATCTTTGTGTGATAGTTTCTCATGTGTAAAGCTGCTATGAGGAATAGCACAGCCCTAGGTCCTTAGGGCAACATCTGTTACATTCTTCTCTGGTGCAGGATCAGTTGTTCTCTGTGTAACACGCAGACGAAGGCCTCCTGGCTCCTTGGAATCTTTGTCTCCTGCCTGCCTTGATACTTCTGTCAGCCTTCTGTGGCTGTTAGTTGGGGGGCAGGATTTGCCCCATGATATTAGGCAGTGCTTATTCAGCTATGCTGCAGGATGGCAGGCTGCCTCTAAAAGAAACCAGAATGTTAATTTTGGCTTGGAGGCTTGCATTTAAGCAAATAGAACATTACTGGTCAGGGGTATATTAACTTAACTCCTCTCTGTAAGCCATTACGTTTACTGTCAAACCACAAAACAAGCATTAAGAGGTCTTATTAATGCATTTTATATTTATAGACATTTTAAATAAAGTGATCTGCCTTAAAGTATTTAATATCTATTTATGTTACAAGAATTTCTGAAGGGAAAAAAAGTCAGCATTACAAAATACTGGTTTATTGCTCCCTTGGTAAATGAGATTCTTAGGGAAAAAAAGCCCACCACCCTCCTCTAGAATAACAGCTAAGAAACACAGCAAGGCCCTTTTGCAGCCCAGAAATAAAATAACAGCTAGTGCTTCGTACAGAAAGTGCTGTGTTTTTAATAACATTCTGTGGTTCTGAATATCCCCCTGAACAGAGAATAGATTCACATTAAAGGTACTTGTTTTTTCTGAATGTCACTGTAGAGGTACAAGCTCTTCATTTACTAAGCTAATATTTGAAGTTATAAGACAGATTTTTCCAAGATCGTGGAAGAATTTCCCTCTAAGGTACTCTGTAATGTATAAGTAGGAGCAAGCATGGCCCCAGGGCTTTGAGTTGACATTTTTTTAAGTCACCACCTCTAAAATGAAATCTCTTCTTGTTTTCTGGCAAGATATTTGGTTCAGCAGTTTTGCTAATGGACGGTTCCTGATGGCTTTGTGATAATGATGAAAGAGATAAGCTGATAAAGTTGTCAAATGTCACCATGTACATCTGCAGTTTTAGTGAGGCAGTGAGGTTACGGGCATCCTGGATATGAGGACCTAAACAGGCAGAGATAATAGTAGAATTATAGAAATGCAAAACAAACTTATTTAGCTCACCCATTCTGTTAGTCTGGCAACTACAATCTCTCCTTGCATTTAATTGACGTGGAGGCTCTTTGGATGGATGTTCTGTTTCTTATGAAGTTCTGTGTTGGTCTTGCAACACATCATGGCTTCACCTAAACTGAACTTTGGGTTTCTCAGCCAGCAGCTAGATGACCAGTGCACTAGCTTTCTCTTTTCCTTTCCCATGTGTTCCTGTGTATCTGCTTAAAATAGCTGCCATACTGGCCTTGGTTCAGGAGCAGGTTCTGAAGCATGAGGCATCACTGCTTTCTTGGAGGAGTTTTATGCTTTGTTTCCTCTTGTGTTTTCTTTTCATCCAAGAGAAATGGCAGTAAGACAAAAAGGAGATTCACTGTCCTCATAGACAGGCAAATTGAACTGGCCTCTACTGTGTGTGGTCTTCATGACTTATGCTTTCAGCTTCTCATAGGGAACTCCAATTCAAATGATTGTGAAGTATATGATAAAGGAGATATGAGACCCTTTGGAAAGTTCTGTCCATGACCATTGTGTTCTTAATGATGAGGAATGACTGGTTTCAGCTGGTACCTGAACAGCAAGTTATGAATATTAGCTCCTTGCAGTTCTGCAGGGCTTCTTTGCAAACCAAGCCCCACTCAGAATGACCCTCTGAGCATTTAAGGACAGAGATGTCTGACTTTCCAAGACCACAGCATGGTAATTTAAAAGCTGCTTTCTATGGGTTTTTTCTCCCTTGAGTGCATTTTTGGGGGGTTCGGAATAAATTAAAACTGTGGCTTGGTTTTGAGCTTGCCTTTTTCTGAGAGAATACAGCATTCAGGGGTAGGTTACTGTAATGTGTGTTAGTTCTCCTGCAGCTGTCGCTAAGCCATGCGATTAGTGTGGAAGCTCTTTGCAGCAGCAAGCAGTAACTTGAAGTTAGTGATCTTTGGGATGCCATTAAGGGGGAAAAATTTAATGTTGTTCTTTAGCAATAATGCTGGTTTACTCTCTGAGGCCTTATTTTACACTCTGCATATTGTTTTTCATTTGGATTTCCCCTGTGAGAGGGTTTTTTTATGTTAAAGGAATAGATAAAATCATTTTTATCATGCATGCATTGATGGATTTATATCTGTGCTCTTGGGGCTGGCACATAAAGGCTCCAGAGTTGCAGCTGATAATTGGCTCCCTTTACCCTGATCTG